AAAATGTATAAAAATAGTTTCTGGAATTGCGTTTATTATTATTTCCAAACCAGCATCAGCTGGGCAACAAGCTTGTTAAGTAGTGTTTTAATCTAAGTCTTTTGGCCATTTGGCCAGTTACCAGTATATCTTAAATTTATCTCAACAACTTCTCTTTAACAATTATTTGGTAATTTTTTTCCATTTGTTTCATGAAATTCCAGAATCTTTCTCACCTAAGAACTCATTAATTCAAGGAATGTTGCTGGAATCATAGCACTATATGATTTATTAGATTTTATTTCCATGAACAAGATGTGTTAACATAAAAGTAAAACACTCTTCTGTTTCTATTATTTTAAAATAGCATGATTTTATTTAAATATTTAATGAAATTTAATTCCCTCTAAAGTTCTACAACTTAAACTTTGAAATTAGTATATTGATTTAATTTGAAACTTTTTTAGATGAACCATCCAGATCTTCTGATACAAGTGCTTGGGATTTTAAAAAAAAGTGGTGAGTTTCTTTTTTAATTCGTCTTTCTAAAGAAAATTCTTTAAAGGTACATGCACTGTGTAGGTTATATATGGCTAACCAAATTAAACTAAAATCCCTAGCATGTTTTAGTCATTGTATTATATGTATGTATATACATATATTTGTTTATGTATTTAATAGGTATACTAAAAAATTTACATGTCTGTAAGATCAAAAGTGTATTTAAAATTGATATGTAAAATCTGCATTTTGAATAATTTAAATATGTTAGCTTTGAATATTATGAGCATTTCTTATGTAAAAGAAGAGAAAGACAAAATCCTTGGAAGGTTATTGATGAAGGAAGACTTAGGGAGAGACTTGGGGGAAAATTTTGTGCATTTTTAAAGCAATATCAGCCTAATTTAATCATTTATATTACACCAACCAAAATCATACTTAGTAAGCTTTTCATATGTGCCTCATATGTCTGGATTATTTTTGTGTGTGATGTAAAAAGGATATTTATATAGGTAAAAAAACATTTAAAATAAAAAAATTTTAAAATTACAACTGTCTCAAACTAGGCTATAGCATGTAATACAACCTATAATATTATTTTGTTTTTGTTCTTATTTACTGCTTTTCTTGTTATGAAGCAAATGCTTGAGAGCTCAAGATCTGCTGCTAGACTTTCTAGGCACAAAATTTCGTTCTGCCACTTGATGGTTGTATGTTTTTTGACGAATTATTTAATGTTCATGCTTCAGTTTTCTCATCTGTAAAATGGCAATAATACAATATCTTTTTGATGAAGAAGTTGTGAGAATGAAATTTGTTAAGCAATAGCTTAGAAAAGTGCCTGGTATATATAGGAACTTATGACATTTCTGCAGCTGTGATTTTTATTATTACTATTGTCATCTTAGATTTTATGAATTACAAGTACCTGGCAAAAATATTTGCAGTTTGGCTTAGAACAGATAGCTTATTGACTTTAATCTTATCTTCATACTAGAGGCCTGGTGCACTGGGGGGGTTGTCCCTCAGCTCAGCCTGCACCCTCTCCTATCTGGGACCCCGCGGGGGATGTCCGACTCCCGGTTTAACAGGGATCAGGCTTAAACTGGCAGTTGGACATCCCTCTCACAATCCGGGACTGCTGGCTCCCAACCGCTTGCCTACCTGCCTGCCTGATCACCCCTAACCACTCCCCTGCCAGCCTGATCGACGCCTAACTGCCCTCTCCTGCCAGCCCGGTTGCCCCCAACTGCCCTCCCTTGCTGGCCCGGTCGCCCCCAACTGCCCTCCCCTGCAGGCCTGGTCCCCCCCAACTGCTCTCCCCTGCCAGCCATCTTATGGCTGTGGGTGCTGCCATCTTTGAGGGTGTGCCAGTCAATTAGCATATTCGTCTTTATTGACTGTGGGCGCCGCCATCTTTGAGGGCAGGGCAGTCAATTAGCATATTTCCTCCTTATTGGCTGTGGGTGCTGCCATCTTTGTGACAGTGTGAGGGTCAATTAGCATATTCCCTCTTTATTTGATAGGATAATAGAGTTGCATCTTATTGGTCATGTTGCATAATAAGGTTGTGTCTGATTGGTTAATTCCTGGCACCAGAAATCCTTAGATACAAGTATAGGCACTTGATTTTTTAAGAAGTCACTTTGGAGCAAAATGGGTAGGTAGTTACTATTACTATTTTTTTTAATCAACATTAAACCTATTTTGTCAGTTTGCCACAGAATTTTAGTAATTAGTTTAGTAATTAGTTCTGTGAAAAAGGTTGAAAATCGCTGTTGTAAAGGGATTTTAATAACATTTTTTCTTAATAAATATTTGTCTCTAATTGCACAAAAACTTTAAAACATATTACAGATAGGAGGTAAACACAGAGCTTTTACATCTTTAGAGTCACTGGAGAGTATTAACCTAGCAAAAAAATTGTAAATAGGTCATTTCCACTTAAATATACAAGTAGATTATCTTGAGTCATATAACATAGGTGTACAAAATGCAGTCTGATTATAAAATTTATTGTTTTCTTTTTATTCCCTCTCTTTAAAGACCTGTACTCTTTAAAGTCCTCTATCCTGTCACCTATAGGATTTATTTGTTTTAAGTATTTGTTTTCCAAACCCGATTGAGCTCTTTGTGTCTTATTCATTGTTATATCCACCAAGTATAATTCAATTCCTGACATAGAGATTTTTAGCACATGGTTTTTAATCACTTAATTCCAACAAGTATTACTAAGAGATTTTCTTTAAACTTCAAATGAAATAATGTTAATGTATCTATTTTTTAAAAACTATATCTTTATTAATTTCAGAGAGGAAGGGAGAGGAAGAGAGAAACATCAAACAACTTTGTGTCATAGTTTCTCTCTCTTAAGTGAGAGAGAATCATTGATCAGCTGCCCCCTGCATGCCCGATCCTGCAACCCGGGCATGTGCCCTTGACCAGAATCGAACCTAGGACCCTTCAGTCCTCAGGCGGATGCTCTATCCACTGAGCAAAACCAGCTAGGGCTAGTGCAGCTGTTTTTATTTAGACTAGACATTTATGGCATGGGGCCTACCGTGGAGATAGAGAGATGGACTTAAGAGTGGAAATGTGCTTTATCTGTTAGTCCATCCTTAGGAGCTTTAGTCGGGCAGACTCTTCATAGGTTTATGGGAAATGAAGCCAGCAGTTAGCCTTTTACTTCCACAGATATTTTTAAAAGAACCAAATTTTCAAAGCATTGTAGGTTCTTATTTTATGACTCCTGTGGAAATAGCCCTCGAAGTAAGTGGTGCCTTCTCTTGGCTATATCTATGAAGGTTTAACAACTTTGACTAAATTATATACTTACTTGGATATATTCAAACTCTTAGGGATGTTAAAACTTTTTTTCTTAAGGTGATTATAATTTTCAGACAGTTGAGACTGTGCCTGTGGCTTCTGATATGCAGCAAATGGTACCAAGAGAGATAAGGGATCCTGTGGGGTTGATTCTCATAATGAGAAGAGTGGATTATCCCACAGAAGCAATGAGAGTGATATTTAGAAGGAAACTATTACTTAATGTTTACCATAGAGTAAGCATTTTAGAGATGTTGACATTAGCTTACTTGTTTTGTTTTTTCCCCCCCTTATTAGTATTATATGTAGATGTGGAATCTGATTTTCACGCTAAAGTTCCTGTTGTGGTGTGCAAAGATCGGAAAAGGTTGGTAACAATGAAGAAAAACTATTTTTAAAAATAACGACAACATCCAATTATGCAGTGAACATCTGTAAGAGAGAAAAAGTTTTGTTTTTGATTTCTCCTTGGTTTAATATGACTAGGCTAGTTTCTACTTACTCAAATTAGCCGGCTTACTAAAAGCATGTGAACAAGAAATAGAACAGATAAAAATAACATACTTAGAGGCATAACTTTTCATTTTTTTTTTAAAGTTCATTCACCCAACAGTATTGAACATTTACTATATGTTAACTAATGCTTTCCTGTAGGGATACAAACATAAACAAGAAATAGTCTTTCTTCTCAAGGAGCTCATAGTCTACCAGACTCTAATTTTTAGTTCACTGAAATTGAATGAGTCATTGAAGACTAATCTTGCTTTTCTAGTCATATCTATAGGATTAAGAAAGTAAAATACTTTTGAAAAAAGAAACTAAAATAATTCTATTTTAGTTCAATGTGGGAGATATGGAGACAATACAGAAATAATAGTGTTCTTTTATTGATTATTAACCTATATATCTTATATTTTAAGATTACTATATTTTCTTATTCAAAACTAGAAGGATCTATGGAGATCTAGTTCAATTTCCTTTTTTTCTAAATTGGAAGATTGAGACCTGGAGGGCAAATAAATGATTTGTCCAAATTCACATCATTTAGGGAAAAATCAGAATTGGAATGGAGGTATTCTGATGTCTGGTATTTTTGCCATCACATCATGTCTAATTGTCTCTGTGTGGCAACCTCAGATACGTTCTTCTCCCTGCCACCAAAATATCTCTTCTATAATTCTATTAGCCCATTTACAGTAGTTCCTATTTTCACTTACATGTAAGCATTACTTGTGGGTTAATACATAAATCCTTTCTAATCTCTCATCTGAAAATAGCATGTCAATAAAATCATGGAAGCTTGGATAGGAAAATAATAGAGTCAAGAAGTACAGCTAATCAGTTCAGAATTTCTTTTTTAATTTTTGCAAAGCAAAAAGAATGTACTAGGAAGTTATGTTGCGTTATTTGACATTGATAAGATCAATGTCTTTTCTCTCATATAAATCAAATTTTGGTGATCCATAATGCTGCTTTTGAAATTAATTTCTCATGAACTTAAATACTAAAGTTGAAACTTATTTCTGAAGTACAAATGAACATTTAAAACATCTTTAATTTATATGGAACTCTAGTGATGGAACTGATACATAGTTTTCAGTAAGCTCTAAGTTTATTAAAATATTTTTTATTATGCCTTCTTAAGTATTAAAATACAGTGACTAGAAGGGATAGCCACAGGATTTGAAATATTATGTTTTTGAAAGTATTAATGCAGTGAAATTTCTTTCTTTCTTATTCACAGTGGCTTACTTTGTAGAGTGAGTGCAGGAAATGATATGGCATGCCTCACTACTGATTTACTTGCTGCTATTGGCAAAATGGAACCTGTCTTTATTCCCTTGGCGTTAGCCTTTCGTTATTGGGCTAAGGTGAGTGGAACAGAAATCATAATATGTAATAGAAATCATAATATGTAGGAACAAAATAGTTATGAATAACTATAGTAAGTTTAGAGTGGATTTGAAGCCAAGTAAACAGATTTGGAATAAAATTTGGAGGAAGGACTTGATATGAGAGTTGAGGGGAAGTGAGTAATTGATGACAACTCCTTAATTTTTGGAAAATGCAAAGATACCAAGTTCTTGGATAAGGAGATGGTATTCTTAAAATGTAAAAGTGCATTAAATTAATTTTTAAATGTTCAGTAATTTTAATTCTAATTACCAGGAGTTTTTAAAATGTTGATAAAATGATCCTAAAGTTAGTATGGAAGAATCTTTGAGAATAGCCAAAAGAACTCAGACTAGTAAAGGGGGACCCACTTTACCATACAAAACCGATTTAGTTAAGTGTATACCATTGGCAAAGGAATAGACAAATAGATCTGTGGAACAGAAAAGAAAGCTCAAAAGTAGATCCTAGTGTAAATGAGATTTTAATGTATGAAAAAATAAAAGATTATTTTAGTGATAAAACAGTGGTTTATTTAATAAATAGTGCCATAACAATTGTATCTTTCTTGAAGAAAATAATGTTGGACCCTTAGCACGCTAAGTGCAAAAATAAATTGCACTTGAATGAAAAATAAAAATTTTAGAAGACAATTTAAGAATATATATCGGCCCACACCTCAAAGGGTCAGGGTTTGATTCCGGTCAAGGGCACATACCTGAGTTTCAGGTTTGTCCCTGGCCCAGTTGGGGTGCGTGCAGGAGGGCAACTAATCAATGTGTCCCTCTCCCTCTCCCCTTCTCTTCCTCTCCCCCTCTCCCCCTCTCCCCTCTCTCCCCCTCCCCCTTCCCCTCTCCTTCTTCCCCCC